AAAGGGAAAACACAATAAACAAAAAAGAAGACACCGATGACATTTCTACCGCCTACTTGTTATGCTTATAAAATTCAAAATTAGTTTTAGTTTAGACAAAACTACCACAGAAGATGGTATCGATTTTAGTAGATTTAGTTATTTTAATGACGAATTGTTTGTGAGTACTTTTGTGTTTAATATCTTAGTTGTTCTACCGTGATTTTTATATGTAATTATGAATATGTGTTTATTTGTTCCTTTATTTAATATCATACATGTATTTATATTTTTTGTAACAGATAATTAAATAAACACGCCCCTGAAGATGCTAAGAAGACTAGCGAAACGTTGGGCCGTAAGTGAAATAACCTCGGTTTATTTACACTAAATAAAAGAGATCAGACAAGCCTATCACAAATAAATTTTCACGAAAGTATTTTTTGATAAGTTATTTTTTAATTGTTATGTTTCTTTATAACAAAATATTTATTCAAAAATAAAGAAAAGTAATTACAGAAAACTTATGATTAATTTTTGTTCTCGCTGAAACCGGTCCGGGTGAACAGTCTCAATTCTTTTTATCCTCTCTTTCCCATTCCGATGTCCCCAGGCTCTCAGCTGCTTTGGCAGTATCGATTATCGATATTTTCTGTTATAAGGGTTAGTACTAAGTTTAAGTGAAGTATGCGGTTTTAATATGTTTCGAGTTCAAGTATTCGGTTATAGGCTAGTCTTCCCTTTTGATTAAGATGCCCTAGGTTGCGGTTTGAGCGACGTGGTAGCAGTGGTGTCTCCAACTGATCAGTTCCGATGGCACTTCCATCTACCCTTGGATTTTCACCTGTATCCACGTTCGGATTTTGGGTGACACGAGAGCCTGTGGCTTTTGACGGCTCAAAAATTTCTAGTGCTGAAGCCCACGGCTTCTGGTAGCCCTTTGCTGTGGTGGTGCGTCGTCGAAGTTGATTAACCTATGCTCTAATAATTCTGCCATTTAAAAGTCTCATATTGTACATGACAACCTCTCTGCTCGATGATTTCTCCAAGAGACCATTTGAAGTGATAGACACCATCTGAAGTTCTGACATATACCTTATCCAAATTTTGGAATTCTCTGGCAGCCACCGTGCTTTATGTCGAATTGCTGCTTCATCTTTGCTATGGCTACTGACATTGGTTTCTCGCTTTTGTCAACGGTTTTAGCTGATCTAATGTTGTACGCATTGGCCTTCCAAATATTATCTCTGCTGGAGATTTATGATCGGGAGTATTTGGATTTGCTGTTGAACGATATAGTTATAGAAATGTGTGCATATTTTCTGTAACCGTTCCTTCTTCTTCCGTCTTTTGAGAGCTCTTTAGAAAGTGTCCACAAATCTTTCAGCCTGGCCATTTGACATTGGATGATATGGGCTCGTGCATTTATTCTCAATGGAGGTTTTACGCATAAAGTCTTCAAAAAATGCGCTTTTAAACTGCGTACCGTTGTCCGACACAAGCGTTGTAGGAAGTCCGAAACGAGAAAATAATTCGCTCAACATTTTCACTGTTTGTTTTGAAGAAATTGATTTCGTTTCAACGATTTCCGGCCACTTAGAAAATGCGTCAATTACTAGTAAAAAGTAATAACCCTTGATTGGGCCGGCATAATCTATATGAACTCGATCCCAAACTTTTGCTGGAGTAGGCTACGGTTGAAGAGGTGTTTTTTCAGGCATTTTTGCAGCAACTGCACAGTGGTCGCAACTGTTAACTATGTATAATCTTTATGTCGCTGTCGATACTTGGATAATAGACGTAGCTTCGTGCGATAGCTTTCGGATCCTCAATGCCTGTGTGACCACGATGAAGCTTCTTTAGTACGCGTGTACAGAAAATTCGCGGAATGACAAGTCTATCGCCGTACATAATGCATTCATCAACATACATTAAATTGTCTTTCCTATTAAAAAACATTTTTGGAGGCCATCCATCTTTAATATACTTTAACACGATGGATAAAAGCTTATCTTTAGATGTCTTGTGCTGTATCATTTTGAATGTTACTGGCAGAGATTTTATGGTGTCTCTGACGGCAGCATTGGCTTCATTTTCTGTTTTTATTGACGCAATGACGAAATCTTCAGGTGCGATATTTGCTCTATTTGTTAAGCGTGACAATACATCTGCGTATCCAAAACTATTCGTGCTAACGAAATTAATTTCGAAATCGTACGCAAGAAGTTGAAGTGCCCATCTCTGGAGTTGTTGTTGTTGTAGCAGCATACAAATTCCCCAAAGACTTTTTGGGGAGTGTTGCTGGAGTGACAGTCCTTGGCCTTCCGGTTACGTAGACCCGACTGTCGTGGGAACGCCATCTCTGGAGTCGATTGGCTTGGTGTACTGCGATACCATTTTTGCGCCCGAAAATTGCTAATAAAGGTTTGTGGTAAGTGTGAAGCTTGAATCGCCGTCCGTATATCATTTTGTGAAACTTCTTAGTCGCAAATACGAGAGCTAAAGCTTCTTTTTCAACTTGACTATACACTTGCTCAGCGGGTGTCAATGATCGCGCAGCGTGGCAAACGGCTTTTACGGTGCCATCAGGGTATTCGTGTAAAATACATGCGCCAAGACCGTATCCGGATGCATCAGCCGCTGCTATGATTTGGAGCTGCGGATCATAATGTGCCAAGGTAAGGTCCGTTGAAAGAATGTCCTTTCAATTTTGAAACGATCGCTGGTGCTTCGCTGTCCATGTCCATGAAACGTTGGATTTTAAAAGTTCATCTCACGGACCTCTATGTTGTCGCGTATTACTAACAAACTTGCCGAGAAACGATCGCAGTTCCGTGACATCGTCGGCTGCGGCATATTGGTGATGGCTTGTATACGTTCGGGATTTGGCTTAAGGCCATGCTGATTTATGACATAGCCAAGGTAGCTTAGGCCCTGTCTCCACAGGAAAACACTGATGTCGTGGTAACCATGTCACAAAATATATTTCCAATGGAGACCGCCTATTTCTTATGGGCTGCAATATATGTCAGCGCTTATTGTTGGACATCTATTGCAGGCAATTTGATAGTTCGACAGCCATATTTTCATTTGAAAGAAAGCGTGCTGGTGGTAACATCGATGAAATTTTGATATGTCCCCTATTGGATTATTTATGATTACGTTTTAGAAAATTACTCAGCAAGTTTTTTAAAGACTTAAATGGCTTTAAACACCGAAATTGAGAGAATGTTTTCTGGTGGCGTCATGCGGCAAATGCTTATTTCAAGACATCAAAGTGTCTACACACAAACACTTGCAATCATATTGCTCGTCAAAATGACAGTTGTTAGGCCATCGGTGTTTGCCTGTGGAGTTCTGCGGTTACGGATGTTTTGTAAAATTTGCACTTCTCATATTTCAACTTAAATCCGTATTCTTTTATTCTTTTTAGTACCGTGTGAAGATTTCTAATATTTATGCTCAATTTGGTTATTGCCGGATACAAAAATGTCGTCAATATAGGCTGCTACCCTTGGTATGTCTAAAAGTATCTGGTCCATGATCTGTTGGAATATGGCCGGAAATGTTTTAACGCCAAATAGCTTTCGGTTGTACCGGAACAATCCGATATGTGTGTTTATTGTAAGTAAGTGCTTTGAAGCGTCATCTACTTCGATTTGTAAAAAAGCATCCGATAAATGAAAATGGCTGAAGTATTTTGAATTTGCCAATTTCGAAAATATGTCTTCAGGTAAAGGCAAGGGATATTGATGTGATTCGAGACGCTCGTTCAGTCCAGTTGAAAAATCTGAGCTCAGTCGTATGCCGCCGGTTGCTTTTTTTATGACAACAATGGGTGCTGCCCAATCCGAGTAAGTAACAGGTGATATGATCTCGCAATCCTGTAGACGTTGTAATTCCGTTTCAACGAGCTGTTGCATGGCGTAAGCAACTGGACTTTTTGGTCTGAAAACTGGCTGAACATTGGGCTTCGTCTGCAATACGGCCTTCGTCGTGTTGCAGAGTCCCATCTTGCCATCGAACACATCTGGAAAAGATAACTTCAATTGAGCACTGCAAGTTTTAATTGCTGATTTATCAACACTCCCCTGAAAATTCTGTACTTGATTGCAGACTGAATTTATTGGCTGATCCTTTAAATTAAAAGCATCCATCCAATCAAGTCCCTTAACGTTGAGATCGGATCCGGATGACACACGACAAGTAAGCGATTTTTCTTCTCCTTGAAAGCTAACTGAGCATGTGAATTGGGAAGTGAGGGGCAGCTTGCCTGTTGCACTACGTGCTGATCGGTCGACTGCCTCTGTTTCCTCAATGTTGAAAGTGTCGAACGTATGCTTTGATATAATTGTAATATCAGACCCCGTGTCGAACTGAAGTCGAATGGGTACGCCATTGATACGAACATTGATGTATTTGCGCTGGCATTGTACTTGGTTTGTCACAAAAATTCCGTTTGACTCTACGAGTTGTTTGTGATGTTGTTTGCGTTTTTTCTGCGTGACGCTTGTTTTGTTTTGTTATTGTGTCCCATTTGTCGTATATATTTTGTTGTTACTATTGCGTGTGCAATAGCCCTCTTTATGCCCGGTTTTTGAACAATCGCCACATTTATGGCTTTTGTAGGGACAGAAACGTGCATAGTGAAAATCCAACGCAATTCCAGCATGGAGTTTTTGGTACTTTCCTCTCCTTTTTCTGCTTTGTATTTGCTTTGACCTTGCTGACGGGCACGCTCTGTTGATTTTCGATGAGTGCAGTATCAGCTTTGAGGTTCAGCATTCGTTGGCATTCCCTTGACAATGAGTCCAGTGTGATAGTTGTATTTTCGCCATCTAACTTGTTTAGCATCTTTGTGCGAATTTCAAAAACCGATGGGGATTTGAGACCCATAAAAAAATTAAGCACTTGAATTGATCTATTGCTAGATTGTTTAAATAGAAAAGCTCACATTGTTTATTTACAACGCCTGCGTATGTAATGAAATCTACATTCGGATCTTTGTTGATCTGCAAGCAATTGTATCGCATGTTGAATTGTGATGCCTGCATCCCGAAAAGTTGCTTAAGCAGTGACACCGTTTCGGCAAAAGTTTTGTCCCGTGGATGTTTTGGAAGTATGTAATTGACGTATTTGTGATGCACTAAGGTGTTCATTTTCCTAAGAAGTAGTGTTGGAAAACTATCGATAGTGTATACATTCGATTGTTTCGATAGTGATAGTGCAAAATATTCGATACTATCGATAGCTTTCTTACATATGTTGAGATATAACACTAATGCCCGGTTTTACCAACCAATTTCAAAATGTATCAAACTTAAAATTTAAAATAGCACAATCTCCTAAAAAAATGTGTAATTTAAAATTTTAACGGCCCGACAAATTTAAAATTGATTGGTAAAACTGGGCAAAACATTTTGTAAATATGCAAATTTGAATCCGTTTTTTATGGTCCTAAAAAATTTGGCAAGTTATATGACAGATTCTATCGCCTATAAATTTCTTCGTTTCTTCTTTTACTATATAAGACAACAACAGCCAGGAAAAAATCTTATTCTTAAATAACCCATTTGGTAACTACAAAAGCCATAAAGATTATTTGTGTACACAAAAATAACTTGTAAAAAACAAAATGAGATCGTGTATGTATTTCAATAACACATTTTATAACAAAAACCATGAAGAACATATTTACAAACAAAGGAGTTCACAACATACATATATATGTAGGCATGTGCATCTTTTATATGTAGTCCAATTCCAACAATGTGAACAACATAAAACTATCGATAGTGTTTAGAAAAATTCGATAGTGGCGACAAAATGAAACCATCGATACTATTGATAGCCCCATCGATAGTTTTCCATTACTACTAAGAAGTAGCCGCGTCTTTGCGGCATTGTCCAATTTATTTGCATCATGCTCAAACTCAGTCAGTTCGGCAAAAGCAGTAATGTGAGCAATAGATAGTAGTTGTGTTTGTTTATAAATTATCCAGTAACTTGCCAGCAACTCTCCAGTAACTTTATTTCTAAGAATTCGCTCTTATAGAAAAAATTTGCCAAAAAGTACGCGAGCGCTATTCCAGTAATAATTTGGGAGTTTCATGAACAGCTGATAAATTGGTTGTTTATTCGCAGCAAATTCCTAATAAAACAATATATTTTATATTTAAATAGGTTTATTTTGTGAAATTCAACAATAAAAACCCACAAACAGTTTCCTTATTAGTTTAAATTTCATCCAGCAACATGCGATCAGCTATTTTTCGTACTGGCAAATTCTTACAAGTAAAAATGTATCCAGTAAAAACTTGGAACTGCAACTGTCATTTTTCGCTCTCTCAATTTCCCCTGCTTTGTAAGTTTTTGCGTACGAAAATGCCAAACATGAAGATTCGTAAAAACTTTTAGTGGATATTACTGGAAATGGGTAAACAAACGCAACTAGTGTGAATAAATTATGCAATAAAAAAATTTACAAAAATCACATAACCGTTTTTGTTGGCGCAGCGACGATATGTATTTGACAGGTTTCAATGAAATTTGGCAATTAAGGATTTTCGTCGTCACTGCATTCGAATATTAAATCAAATTTCCAAAATTCAAAACAGCAGATACAATATGGCGGAAGATATCTTAAAAAATGTATAGATAGTTATAAAGCTTGGTATCCAGAGATTTTCGACGTCACTGGTTTCGAAATTGATATTAAATCTAAAAAAATCAAAATGGCTGATCCAGTATGGCGGACGATTTCCTCAAAAATGTGTAGATTGTTATGAAGCTTGGTATTCAGAGATTTTTGTCATCACTGATTTCGAAATTGATATTATATTTTCAAAAATTGAGGTACCATTACAAAGCATAGTGGACCATATTGTTGATAGGATCATTCGAGCGCACCCACAAAGTTTTGAAAGTCGGACTGAAAACAAAAACAACACTCATATGACAGCTATTTACAAATTTACAAAAATTCAACAACTGTGAAGGAAATATGATCGACGAACGAAAAATGACACTGAAGATGGCACAACGCCGAAACCGGTTTTTCTCCAAACCAAATTTGACAAGGGATGACGGAAAATCGTTCCACAATACATCATATTTTATTTACTTTGAAAGTTATTAATTAAACGCCGCTAGAGAAGGCAAATCGCCCACTGTGCGCTGTGGTGTAGTGGTCAGCAGTGCGTGCTTCCACTCTGCAGTGCCTTGGTTCAAACCCTGGTCATAGCAACATCGCAAAGAAATATAGAAAAAAGGTTTGGCAAATCTCCGAGTGTATTTCTGCCATGAAAAACAGCTTCTCCTCAAAATACAATCACCGTTCGGAGTCGGTGTAAAACTGTAGGTCCCTCCACTTTGTGTGACAACATCAAAGCGCACGCCACAAATCTCAGGAGAAGCTCGGCCAAACACTTACATATGTTTAAACGCCAATCTATTATTATTATTATTATTATTATTATTATTATTATTATTATTATTATTAT